ATTCTATATATATTATGTGTGATATAGCCCCGAAATTATACTCCGGGAGTTATATATATATATATATATATATATATATATATATATATATATATATATATATATATATATATATATATATATATATATATATATATATATATATATATTATGTGTGATATAGCCCAAGAGTTATACTCGGGAGTTCTATATACTAATTGTTATGTATGTTGTTATTATTGATTCTATGTTAAGATAAAACCTAGTATGTTACTAATATAGCCCTGAAATTATATTCGGGAGTTCTATATATACTTGTTAAGTATGTTGCTATTATTGGTTTTATGTTAGATAAAACGTGGTTTTACTTCAAGTTATAGTTCTTGTACTGCCTAAGTATTATGAAATTAGGAGTAATATTTAAAATCATGGTCTAGTAACTTAGGGTTTTAGACACAAATATGCTTTTACTATTCTTTAGGAGGTCGACTAAGTCTACATGAGCTATTATATTCATCAACTAAGATTGGGAATCTTAGGTGAAATCCTCTCACCTGTAACCGCTAATCTCGTGTGAGTGAGGAAGTCGTGTATGAAACTATACCGGTTGACAACCCCACTCATGGTTGTTAGCTAAAACCCAATATTTAGCGAGTGACGAACCATCCTTTTATTTGTTTTATTGATCCGGCGTCGATGAAGCGCGTGGTGTTTTTATATTGGTGGAATCCTTCGTGGTACCCCGGGCATAATCTTTTATGGCATCAATGGTGGAAATCCTTCGTGGAACCATTGGTGGGATTTTCGTCAGAGGTCTTATATGTCATAGCAGCGGTTACAGACTCATGGTAGAAAATTATTAGAAACATTATAGTTTGTCGATATACAAATATTAATGTTAAGTATAAGTTTCCCAATAACTTATACTCTAGGTATAAGGAATTTATAGGTATTTTACTTATTCATTAAGTAAACAATTATACTTAGTATATATACTCGTATAGAATTGAAATAAGATTTATATGTAGTAACCGTCCTTGATTTAAGTATATGGAGATTTTAGGTATATCACTTATTTAATAAGTAAACTATTATACCTAGGATTTATACTATATGTTAGAGATAAGCATGAGTCAGGATGACACTATTAAACTATGTTTTATACTTTTTGAAGTTGGAAAAAGTACTATTTTACTCGGAGTCAAAACCTATAGACTCACCAACTTTACATTGATGTATTTTCAAAACGCATGTGTTTTCAGGAACTTGATAAGCTCGAATGTTTCTCGAACAGGGGAAATTTTACTGTTATTCTTTATGTTCAAAAGGAACATATATATGTTAAGACGTGTGCGATAATTCAGATACCATATAATAATCACTAGGAAACCAGAATAATGTAACTTTTTATCATCAATAATGGTACGCAGTTTATAATAATTCTTTTTTACTATTTAATATATGTTTGATAACTGTGATACAAGGATTGATGCTACACCGCTCGGTGTTTTTGCCGCCGGCTGGGGCTGTGACAGATTGGTATCAATTCATTCAAGATTAAAGTAAACTGATTATAATATGTGTTTGTTATATTTATGGGAATTATCTTTGACCTAATTTTGACTGGTGTTACATTCTCCCCCCTTTGAAATAATTTCGTCCTGGAATTTATCTTGTGGACGAGGAACTGTTAATTAGTTGGGGAAAACATTGTGTATATTTCTTAGCTCTTAAGGCAACTTAAGTTGATATGCGACAAAACTAATTATGGTTTAGAATTTCAAAAGGTTCTATATATTTTGGGTTTAGCTTGCCTCGCTTCCTGAATCGAATCATGCCTTTCTAAGGAGATACCTTCAACATTACTTTATCTCCTACTTGGAATTCCAAAGACTTACATCTTACGTCAGCATAGTTCTTCTGATGATCACATGCGGCCTTTAATTGATCCTTAATTTTCACGATCTTTTCAGTTGTCTCGTGGATTATTTCTGGCTCGGTACATAAGGTATCACCTGTGTTCTGTGACCAATTGTGTATCTCCAACTTCTGCGGACGTCTTTGGTTCTTCCTAATTCTTAATTGCTTCAATTTTGGAGGGGCCGACATGAATTCCTTTGTTACTAACTACATGCCCTAAAAATTGTACTTCTCTAATCCAAAATTCACATTTGGAGAATTTGGCGTAAAACTTTTCTTTTCTTAGTAGTTCCAAGAATATTTGCAATTGTTGACCGTGTTCTTCCTTGGTTTGTGAATATATCAATATATCATCGATAAGTACTATCACGAATTTATCCAAGTACGGTTTGCAAATACGATTCATGAGACCAATGAACATTACTGGGGCGTTGGTCAATCCAAAAGGCATAAATAAGAATTCATAATGGCCATACCGAGTCCTAAATGTTGTTTTTGGAACATCGTCTTCGTGTATTATGAGTTGATGGTATTTAGATCTGAGTTCTATCTTTGAGTAGTAGCTAGATACTTGAAGTTGATCGAATAGATCATCAATTCTTGGAAGCAGTTAATGGTTCTTGATCATTAATTTGTTCAGCTCCCGATAATCAATACATATTCGAGAGGATCCGTCCTTCTTAACAAAGAAAATTGGTGTTACCCAAGGTGAAAAGCTTGGTCTGATAAAGCCTTTGTCAATAAGTTCCCATAGTTAGCTAGACAGTTCTTTCATTTCAGATGGAGCCAACCGATAAGGAGATTTTGCTACTGGTGCTGCTCCTGGAGTTAAGTTGATTCGAAATTCGACTTGTCGAAGAGGTGGTATTCCAGGTAGATCTTTAGGAAACACATCTGGGTAGTCACATACTTGAGGTATGTCATTGATTTTGTTTTGCTTTTCTTATCTACAATGTGAGCAACTGCATTTCTTATGCAAATATTTTTGAGCCTTGGTGCTAGAAATGACTTTGAGGTTTTTCCAGACTTATCACCGTAGATAATCAAGGCTTCGCCGTTAGGTAAGGTTAGTCGTATAGCTTTTTCGAAGTATAGAATTTCGGCGTGGTGTAAAGATAAGTAACTCATGCTAACTATGACATCAAAACTACCAATAGACATTGGTATGAGGTTGTAACAACCCAATATTTCAAGTCAATGTAATAGTCTAGATCAACCATTGTAACTAGTTTTAAAGTAATGAAGAGAAATTATTTGAATATTATGTGCATTTAATTATTTATAAAGATGTAATAAAAATTATCGTCAAAAATAAAATGTTAGATAAACTTGATATCTACGAAGAAACTTGTAGTGGTCGTGACAAGGATTCCGAAGATATAAAGAACGCTAAAATCTGAGTTATAACGAAGAAGTTATGACCTATCGAAGTTTTGCGACGGAACCGACATGACACTGTGTGGCGTAAAAAGTGAATTTACGATAAAATGCTTTTTAGCCTTAACAATCTAAATAAAAGTTTTAGTATATGATAAACCGAAAGTGTACATAAAAAGAACATCCAAATCTGACTTCGTATGAGGAAGTTATGATTTTTCTAAAAATCGGCACAACAGTGTACAACCCGATATTTGAATTCTAGATCGAGCGATTTCTTGCCGACACAACCTAAACGAGAATCGAAGATCTCGTCAATAGTAGTTCAACGGTAAAAAGACAGACGAAAACGGATGTCGAACGAAGAAGTTATGAATTTTTAACGGATTTTTCCTGTCCCGGCCTGTTAAAAGTATAACTTTAAAAATAAAGTCAAAATTAGCTAACGGAGTCTAAACGAAAGTTGTAGAGCACAGTCTCACCTACGCGTGGATATAAAGAACGCGTGGATATAGTTTGGGTTGCATTCTCTTTTATTTACGCCTTTCAGGGCAAAGAAACGAATATATAAAAATATGATTATTTTTATATTAAAAACATGATGAATTGGGTAACAGTTTCATGCATGAATATTTTCAAATAACAAAACACGTATCTCGTTGGAAATTTATGAGCCATTCGTCTTCATTGTACCTACCCAAGGTATACATGGAAGTTCTGTTTTATAACCAAAGTCTCCTCCCGGAGAGCGTGATACTTGTATATAGATCTATACGAGATTGATGACCCCGCACCCTGGCTGTTAGCTACAACACGACTGGCAGGTTATGGGTGACAAATATCAAACATAAAAATGCTTGAAGAACTTCGCGGCTGGCAAATCATTTATTAGCACGATTATGAAAGCTCACATGATAAACGACAATACGTTATTTTTACGTGAAATTAATATTATATTTATTTTACGTAATTACTCAGTGCATCAAATGGTTTTATTTTTGAATAAAACTACAAGTTACAAAACTAAGTATGACATATATACTTATACTTTTCAGTCTTGGAATATATAAGACTACAGTTCAATATTATGGAAAATATAGGATTTTCCAGGATATATACGATTACTTACAAACAAACACCTTACTACTCAGTCTTATAGAAAATATCGGATTTTTTGGAAACAAAAGTGATTTCATCTCATTGAATGGCATATATTTTCATACAAATGCTTATGAACTCACCAACTTAAATGTTGACACTTTTTCTCAAATAACTTGTATTATCAGGAAACCGGTAAAACAGGTACATCCACGAGTTTTTGAGAAAACGGAGCATTATAGACTCATGTCTTTTAACTTTTGTTATACATTTTGGTGTCAATATACAATGTTTTGAACACATATGTAAAAACTTATACTTTATCAATGCATGGTTGTTGTACTTTGATTACTATTATGCAATCGTTATGATACTGTACATGACGTCCTCCGTCCTCGAATGTTTCCGCCGTTCAGGTTTGGGGGTGTGACAGATTGGTATTACAACATTGTTTATAGTGAACTAAGTATATCAAACCATATGATATACAACTATAAATACAATGCGGTTAAACCACTCTGACTAAGAGTTATACTTTTAAAATAGAACCAATATTGTTATATATATTAAAGATGACCACTTCATTACAAAGTGGAGTGTTTTTTTTTGGCAAAAATGGCCCATAGGTTTTCATATTTTGATTGGTTCAGATTTTTGGCAGTAAAGTTTATGTTGTTGACAATTTGGTCCCTTAGAAGATAAGAATGGAGCTCATACGTGTCGTTCCCCCGCCTTCCCCCACCGGTTCTGCTTACCTTCCCCCCACCTGCTTTAGAACGCCTCAAAAACAGTTTTAATCCTCTTCTTCAAACCTCCTCTCTGATATGTAACCTCTACCTGCCTCCATTGGTCGGCCGTGTCGGCAGTCCAGCGCCTCCGACGTTCAATCGATGTTCCACCAGACGAGCGCTTCACTGACTCAAAATGGAAGGATATATCCACAGGTCGGCGACTAATGGATCGAGAACGCCTTTAATCATCTCACCAAGTCGATGGTTCTTCTACTTCACATAATCATCTTGCTGCACGGAACCATCGACGGTCCAATGGCAAGAAGACGATTTCCAGGTCTGTGCTCCACTTCCTTCCACCTTATCCTTTTTCTTTGCGAGCTCTGTGCTCCGCCTCCTTCCACCTTCTCCCTTATCTCTGCAATTCTAATGCTTTCTCTTAATTCTCGAATTTGATTAACTGAATTCTAATTTCCTTTCAATTTTTGATTCCCCTTTGTTTATACCTGTTTAATTTGCTAAAGTTTGTTCATCTAATTTTGATTTTGTTCGAGTTTTGACAGATGTAGAAGAGTTCTATCAGCAGTGCGACCCTGGTTAGTGTTCTTTTCGTTTAATTCCGTTCGAATAGGGTTTAACGATTCCTAAAAATCCTGCTTACAGACATTTACCAAAGAGAAATTACACTTACAGAAGCAAACACAGTGTCCAATAAGCAGGATTTTAGGAAGAATTTTGGGAGGATATAACAATAATCTTAACTATATCTGCTACTCTTTTCTTTCCATGAATTCGATTGTAACGAAAATATCATAAACACCATTAAATACCAACAAAATAATCGAATCTTTTTAAGAGAAATCAACATCATGCATCTCAAAAGTTTTTCAGACATCCAAAAATGGGCATTACAATTTCCATAGACAGAAGGAAGTATAATTTTGTTCCTCTGTGTACATCAGGTTCATTTACTCTATTTTAGTGTTGAAAAATGTGCCCTTAAATTTTCATGTATTTTGATATTGCTTTTGCTTTATGTGAAAATAATAATTGCAATCAATTACCTATCTGTTGATACATCGATTTAAGTCGTAGAAAGTTCGTCCCTATTGTAGCCTGCTCAACCTCATCTGTAATGGGAACACACCCCTGTAGTTACTTTGTTAATTAGATTTATCATCTATGTTGGCTAACACCTTTGTAAGTTTCACTTTTCTATAAACTCATTTTGGTCATTTACTTTGTTAATTAGATTTATCATCTATGTTGTGGGATTTCTGCAGGAAATGGCATGAAGCACAGATGCCAGCTGCTAGGCCGCTCCAAAGAAACGAACACAACAGCAGCAACAATGGCTCAAACGGAGCAGGGCAGTAGAGTACTATTGGCCATATTAGATGGTGGTGGTGGCACTGTGTGAACTTCCATAGATGGGTTAGATTTTCCATGAAAGTTTGGTCACCTCCACCCTACCCCAACCTTATTTATAAAAATAGAATAGAAAAAAAATGAAATTATTAGTGTAGAATAGTGTTGGGGAGGTGTTCAAATTCCTAAAACATAGTTATTCAAATAATCCATGTTCAATGTAAATACTACTAGAACAAATTACTCTACCTGTTTTTTTTAATCGTATAACACTCGAGATTAAACAGCTCCAATGGAAAAATGGTCATTACAACAGCTCAAAAGCGAACCACATGAGTGTTTTTGCAGTTTACTATTAATTTATCAACGATTTCTTAACTTTTTTTTTTTTTTTTTTTTTTTTTTTTTTTCAGTTTTTGAATCCCATTACCAGTGACCTGCTATTTCTTGGTTGTGTATATTGATGTAGGCTTTTTCTCAAATCAGTTGGACCTCATGTTTGACATCTGGAAGGATGTAAGTGGGAATGTTTGCTATTGTCGCAAGGTCACAACTTGAACCTGTTTACCTTTCTTTTTGGCCATATAAAAACTGTCTGATTCTTATATATTTTTAAATGATATTGGTAGGAAGATATGGTTAGGTGAACTGCAGGTGTGAAATCGGTGGATAGAGATTGGAAGGTGAGGAAATTGATCACACATACGTCGGAATTTTTAGGGCTTCACACCGGATGGTTTAATTCTATTTCTAGGTTTCATTTTTACAGTTTGAGGATGATATTGCCCCTGAACATTGTTTTTATATTAATAAAATTCAATATTTATTGTTTTAGGACGATATTGCCCCTCCACACTTTTAATATTAAAAAAAAAAATTCATTTTTAGGACCATGTTGCCCCTGCTTTTATATTAATAAAATTAATTTCTTTACAGTTTTAGGACCATATTGCCCCTACTTTTGAATATGTTCAACAATTTCAGGTATTGTCATCAACAAACGTACAGTACAAATCTTGCAAAATAGGTATGGTGTTATGGTGTGTTTCTGAATATCATCTAGGTTTTATGCAATTTAACTTTTTTTATACGCCCAATATTTTATATTTTGTTTTATGGTAAAAATCATACTCTGTTTTATGGTAAAAAAATATTGAGGTCAACAGTTTTTATCCAAAATGCTACTACATACTGTTTTTTTTGGTAAAAAAATAGTGATTTTAACATTTTTTTTTGTCAAAAATGCCCCTTCATACTGTTTTTTTTGGATAAAAAAAATTATTTTAACAGTTTTGACCAAACTACCCCTACATGTTGTTTTTTGGTAAAAAACAAGTGGATGTATTTTTGCTTCTTCTTGCATTTAGCCCGCTAAATGTTTCCAATAATTTTTTTATTCTTATAGCATTTTACTTCTTTGTTATTTTTTATAATAGTTGCATGGTTTTAAGGTAAATTTCATTGCATTTTTGCATCTAATAATGGTTATATTTCATTCCACTCACTAATCTATTGATGATTTCCGAATGGGAAATTGCCTCCATAGACAACAAGGTACTATCTTAAGGAACAAGTATAATTTTTCTCTTTAATTTACACACATTACGCATGTATTTTGATTTTAAGGGTTTCTTGAATGTTCTTCATGCAGATTGTACAAATGACAGCATTTGGTGATTCAGCGGAGGAGGCGAGAGCAAAAAGGCAACTGATTCCAACGGACCTACCAATATTTCAAACAAAGAAACTTAGGGTTTCTTGCTTTCTTCCCCAATTCTATTTCAATATCCACTTACCTTAGAGGTGACAGACCGGAATCTTTGGTTTTAGTTGGTCTATCATGAAGCATGTCTGTGAAATCTTCTCTATTTATCAGTTTTGAGAAAATGTCAACCGATTTCAGCAACAGAAATTACACTTGAAGAACTTCAGAAGGTAAAAACGGGTTTGCACTGTCTTCACCAGACATCAACTATATACTCGGGGCGTGCTAAAAACGGGTTTGCACTGGTAAAAAGAAGCTTCTACAACACTCGGGGCATCCATGACATCACCACCACCACCACCACAGACACCTGAGGTATGCTTTCTAACATTTTACTATTTTACCCTTATTTATTTTGGTCTCCAGCTCCATCATTAAGCTTCACTCTGTATTACTGCCCTTGGTCCCAGGAAGAAGATTGCCCATATTGATTGTACTCAAAGAGCTGTATGTTTACATTTTATAAATTCCAATATTTATATTTTATTTTTTTGTTTAATTTTGGTCTTACAATTTAACTATACACAGATTAAAATAATGGAAGATGCAAAAAGTCCTGGTGTTGTTATAAATTTGAGTTCAGCATCAGGTTTATATCCAATCATAACTGACCCTATTTATTTCGCTGCCAAAGGTTGTCATTTTATAATTCATATGAGAATAAATAAATATAATCTTATATTTTTTTCTAATGTTTTTTTTGTTGGAAAGGGGGTGTGGTTATGTTTATCGGATCGCTTTCAACCTACAACGGAAAGGGTATTTGTGTCGATGTGCTTTGCCCTGAGGGTGATAAGAGCAGTGTCTCTTCATTCTTTAATGGTTTACAAGTAGATGAGAAACTTTGGTGATGGATTGTCTAAAAATGGAAATTTTATATCTTGGAAACTGTTTTAAATGTCACTTTTTATTGTTCAATTCATTGTTACATTTTTAGGTTCATATATACATGCAATAATTCTCTCTTTGGTTATTTATATACATTACCAACTTTACCCTTTTGATGTTGTAGGGGAATAATGCTTACAACATTGACAGATGCATCCAATGCAAGACATCCATATCTGCAGTTTTGCACATAGAAGTTGTTCGTCAAGATGCAAGTTTCATTAATAAGAAATTAGCAATCTATCCACCTCCTCATAAAAATCTTTTGTAAACATACACATATTATAATTCTATCAGTGTACCAACCTTATTCAATTACTCTAGCAACCTTCTGTTCATCACTTTCTTTTGGAGTGTTTCAGGTGTGTGTTTATTAGATTGTTGAGAAGCAAGTGGTCGGTAGTTTATATGTATTGTTATGTCGTTTAGGAATGGCAACGAACTTTGGGAGGGCGTTCGCAAATACTGCTGGCCTTTCGAACCCCGCAACGCGGGGTTATTCTTTCTATTTTTTTGCAATTTCTTTTGGTTTCTTTACCAAAAAACAAACATAGATTGCCATTTCGTACATCTTCCATTTTTTACAAACGACAAAAAAAATTGTCACATCCGATCCCTGCAACGCGGGGGTTTCCCATCTAGTTTTTATAAAAGTATACATACATGTTTACATGCCAGGACAAGTATCACAAGAAGAACAAAACAGAAGTATTTAGCTGTTGAACATTACATCCAAACCTAGACAATTATGTAATCATATCTGAGATAAATATAGCCTGATCAACTATATTTATTTGAGATATGACCAACATGTGTTTGGGAGTGATCGTAGTGTTGCAACAAGTCTAAAACTTACCGATAAACCGTACAGAGAACCTTTATTATACACATTTAAAATACCATAGGAGTATTTTGTAATACTATAAAACCAAATTCTTTCTATGCTTCTTACCTTTAATTTCTCGTATAGACATTATGGCAGGATATCCCCCGCACGGAGATCCGTAATTCCCTGATCAAGGGAATAATGGTTGGGTTGAAGATGATCCTGAAGAGGATCCCTAGGAGGATGAAGATGAAGAAGAGGATTCAGAAGGTACAGACTCAGATCTAGAAGTATACCACCCACCGCTTGCGGGAGATCCGTAATTCCCTGATCAAGGGAATAATGGTTGGGTTGAAGATGATCCTGAAGAGGATCCCTAGGAGGATGAAGATGAAGAAGAAGAGGATTCAGAAGGTACAGACTCAGATCTAGAAGTATACCACCCACCGCTCGTTGTACAAAACCCTGCAACCAGACAGGATTTCAAGGTCCAATAACAACATGGGGCGAAGACCAACAAAGGTGGAGCCATCAGCAAGGACAACGCCCTCCTTTCGGTATGAACAAAGGCTTCTACAACATCAGCAATGGAGGTTCAGCTGACAGGGCCCTCCCTATTATAGTACGCCGCATTTCTCGCCAGGTTGATAAATCGCGAATATTGATCAACCCAATTCTGGAATTTAACGCTACCTCCCAAGTTAACGTCGTTAATCTTCGTCGTCTGGACGGAGATCACGTTCAAACCAAACATCACACTGAGATGCTTCAAGAAGAGATGGCTGCTGCTCAAGCTGAAATTAGAGCACTTAGGGAGCATCAAACTACACTAAAGAGGCGTATGAAAGGATAAGAGCACCATGTTACAGAATCTATTGCCCAAAAACGTACTCGACGCAAGTAGTGTTTACACTACTTCTATTTTGATATAGACTAGGATCTCGGATATGTATACTACTTTTATATATATGTAAAACTCCACCCTACGATTAAGTAAATATACTACTCGTAGGTCTATATTACATCAACATAAGGGAAAATTTTACAACATTACGACCTATGAGTAGTACATTTACTTAATCGTGGGGTGGAGTTTTACATATAGATGAAAGTAGTATACATATCCGAGATCCTAGTCTATATCCAAATAAAAGTAGTGTAAAATCTACTTGTGGCGAGTACGGTTCTGCGCAATGGATTCTGTAACGTGGTGCTCTTTTCCTTTGATACGCCTCTCTAGTGTAGTTTGATGCTCCCTAAGTGATCTAATTTCGGCTTGAGAAGCATCCATCTCTTCTTAAATCATCTCAGTGTGATGTCTGGTTTGATCGTGATCTTCGTCCAGACGACAAAGATTAACGACGTTAACTTGGGAGGTAGCATTAACTTCCAGAATTCGGTTGATCGATATCCGCGATTGATCAACCTGGCGAGAAATACGACGTACTATAACAGGGAGGGCCCTTTCCGTTGAACCTCCATTGCTGATGTTGTAGAAGCCTCTGTTCATACCGAAAGGAGGGCGTTCTCCTTGCTGATGGCTCCACCTTCGTAGGTCTTCGCCCCATGCTGGTATCGGACCTTGGAAATCCTGTCTGGCTGCGGGGTTTTGTACAACCAACGGTGGGTTGTATACTTCTGGATCTGAGTCTGTACCTTCTGCATCCTCTTCTTCATCTTCGTCCTCCTCGGGATCCTCTTTAGGATCATCTTCAACCCAACCATTATTCCCTTGATCAGGGAAGTAGGGATCTCCGTGCAGGGGATATCCTGCCATAATGTCTATACGAGAAATTAAAGGTAAGAAGCATAGAAAGAATGTAGTTTTATAGTATTACAAAATACTCCTATAGTGTTCTAAATTTGTATAATAAAGGTTCTCTATACGGTTTATTAGTAAGTTTTAGACTTGTTGCAACACTATGATCACTCCCAAACACATGTTGGTTATATCTCAAATAAATATAGTTGATCATGCTATATTTATCCCAGGTATGATTACATAACTATCTAGGTTTGACTGTAGTGTTCAACATCTAAATACTTCTGTTTTGTTCTTCTTGTGATTCTTGTCCTGGTATGTAAACATGTATGTATACTTTTATAAAAATATTGTTATATTTTAAAAGTATAACTCTTAGTCAGAGTGCTTTAGCCCCACTGTGTTTATAGTTGTATATCATATGGTTCGATATACTTAGTTCACTATTAACAATGCTTTGATACCAATCTGTCCCACCCCCAAACCTAAACGGCGGAAACATTCGAGGGTAGAGGACGTCATGTACAGTATCACAACAATTGCATAATAGTAATAAAAGTGCAACAACCATGCATTGATAAAGTATAAGTTTTTACATATGTGTTTAAAACGTTGTATATTGACACCAAAATGTATAAACGGAACATTCACCGTCGAGATGGCAAATAGAAAGACAGAAAACACTAACGACATATACATAAACTGTACCCTCTCACTAAAAAATCGTTGTTTTCAAATCAACCTCATGCAGTCTCAATAAGATCTTTCGATGTCATCATCGGCATGGATTGGCTATCTCCCCATCGTGCTGACATTCTATGTAACGAAAAGGACATTCGCCTTAATCTACCAAATGGCGAAACCCTCATCATTTACGGCGATAAACCCAGTACCAACCTTCACATCATTTCTTGCGTCAAGGCTCGGAAATACATATGCAAAGAATACCAAGTGTTATTGGCCCATGTCGTGAATGAAAAACAAGAAGTGAAAGACCTCAAGAGCATTCCTGAAGTCTGTAATTTTCCTGACGTATTTCCTGAAGATATTCTAGGAGTACCTCCTACGCGACAGGTCGAATTTAGAATCGATCTTATTCTGTTTGTGGGTGATTGGCTGTACTCATGTCCAACCTAGTTCCCAGGGATTTTTGATGTTTGAAAAATAAATTCTCGAAGGAGTACGCCCCGCGTACAAAAGAGTACGCCCCGCGTACTCGGACTAGCTTCGATGCGTGTTAGTATCCTTGAAACGTCTGAAGCCCGGAAACCGAACAGAAGGCACGTAGCCACTACGCTCATCATACAAAGGAGGATGCCCAGCATACTCGGACTAGCTTCGATGCGTATCAGTAGCCTTGGCACATCTGGAGCTCGGAACCCGATCATTGGCCACGTATCTACGCACAACATACGAAGGTCTGCTGTGCATACCGATGTACGCCCATCTTAATGCGAGGCCTCAGCCTCCTATAAATAGCATGCGAGATCTCCGGGTTTTGTTTACATTTTTTACCACACTTTCATCTTAAATACTCCCTTAAGCCCTTTTAAAACCCCCGAAGCCTAGGGAAACCCCCTAACACCCGGAGCCCCGAAGTCCTCGAGAAAATAATCTTTTTCAGTCGAAACTCTACCCGCGTAAAACCTGGTTTTCATCAAAAACTAGCGATTTCGTCAAGAAAAATCATTTCTAGTAACGAAGCGCTGCCCAAATCACCACTTATCAAGTAAGTTCATACCCCTACACTTTTTATAGCTTTTTCCATGTTTTAAGGGGGGGGGGGATACAAGTAAAACACTAGGAATCTTGTGTTAAAATACAAAACATTGTTTATGTTTTCTTAGAGTTTATATAACTATTACATGAAAACATATGCATACAAAACATCTTAAGATACAACAGTTATCAGTTCAAATGAAACATATAGTGTAAACTATAATAGATATAGTTTGGGTTGCATTCTCTTTATTTTACGCCTTTCAGGGCAAAGAAACGAATATATAAAAATAGGATTATTTTTATATTAAAGACATGATGAATTGGGTAACAGTTTCATGCATGAATATTTTCAAGTAACAAAACACGTATCTCGTTGGAAATTTGTGAGTCATTCGTCTTCATTGTACCTACCCAAGGTATACATGGAAGTCTTGTTTTATAACCAAAGTCTCCTCCCGGAGAGCGTGATACTTGTGTATAGATCTATACGGGATTGATGACCCCGCACCCTGGCTGTTAGCTACAGCACGACCGACAGGTTATGGGTGACAAATATCAAACATAACGACGCCTGAAGAACGTCGTGTGAAAGAACCCCTTTCTAAACTTTCGTATTTCTGAAAGTTGTTTACTCCAAAACATGCTACATGCATATTTATAAAAACAATATTTTATATTGATAAAGTGATTACAAACTATTGGATACAAACCAACTATTTCAAAGTGTTATATATTACATAACTTCCCATGATTCTATAGTTTTATACATATGGGAGTGCAAAAATACAATAGTTTCAAACTATTCGAAAATCTTCTATCAATACAATAGTTTCAAACTATTCAAAAATCTTCTATCAGTATATAACTATACTGGATGCTCATCTCCTGCAATTTGTTAAACATTGAGAGGGTAAGCGGTGACGCTTAGTGAGTTCAATAATAGATACAATATAACGTTATGCCATATACATACTTCAATATGGCAGAAGCAAAGATGAACAAGGAACAACAAAGGCATATGTGAATCATG